TCAATTGAAGAAAATAATGCTTTCTGTTTGCCACCAGGCCCCGGCTGCCATTGGCCAGAGCTGCCCACGTGACCAGGAATTGGCTGCAGTTTCGCCCCAGTCTCGAGTTTAATAGAGCAAGGTCCCCATACGCCTGTATTATCAGCAATATAACAATTATAAAAAGCCCGAGAACCATCATCATCATTGCCATAAAAACTGAGGCCCTCAGATTTCTTTCCTTCTCCCCCGCCTCTTCCCTCTCCCCCCTCCCGCTTTTTAAACCCTGGGCCCTGGAAAAGCCATGAATTTTGAATTTGAGAGGGAGATCGGGTTTATAAATAGCCAGCCTTCGCTCGCAGAGTGCCTGACGTCTCTTCCCGCTGTCCTGGAGACATTTCAAACTTCATCAATCAAGGACTCGACATTAATTCCTCCTCCTTTTGAGCAAACCGTCCTCAGCCTGAATCCTTGTTCCAGCAGCCAGGCAAGACCGAGGAGCCAAAAAAGAGCATCTCATGGCCTGCTCCAGCTCCAGCCCCAGCCTCCGGCACAGCCCGGCCCCTTGGCAGCGGAATTCCCCTGGATGAAGGAGAAGAAATCGTCCAAGAAAGCTACCCAGGCTCCATCTTCTTCGTCCTCTTCTTCCCCCCCATCATCTTCCTCGATGCCGGTCCCTGCCGCAGGATCTCCTGCAGGTTCGTATAACGAGGGGGTGAAGGGGGTGTTTGCTGAAATCGGAGAGGATCCGAACAATAAACAATCTCCATCCCGCCCTGCCCCAGAGAAACCCTGCTACAAATCCCCCCCCAACAGACTTTGCCCCACACCTCCCCCGAAAACTGTCACGCAACAAAATACACAGCAGCAATGTGCACAGCCGGGGAAGGGGGGGACGGGAGGGATTTCTCCTGCCTCCTCCCCCCGCAAATAAAAGAACAAATTGCTGTAACTTTTGCGAAAGCCAAGAAAGAGAGGGATTCGGGGGAGCCGGGCTGTGCTGGCTCCAGCGGGGGGACCTGGCAGCTGAACCACAGCTCCAATTGCCTGACTTTTTTCTTTCCCAGTCCTGTATTTTTAAATTTTTATTTTTTTAATATTTTTTTTACAGCCTACAGGGGGAAAAAAAAAAACCAAACCAAACAACAAAGGTCCCTTCCAGCCCCTAAGATTCTATGATTCTATGAAACGAAATCAAACCGAAAAAAAACCCAAACAAACCCAAACAACAAAATCAACAAACCAACAAAACCAAAACCCCCAAAGAGCCCAGAGGTATAAATAGGCGGGTGGGTAACGCAGGGGCTGCTGCCAGCAGGATGGAAAGAGCGACATTACAGTAGGGAGAGGCAGCTCCCCATTGCAAAAGAAAATAAATACCCCCCCAACCTCCCCAGTGAAGCAATAGCCTCTCTCCCAGGCGCCCCTTGGCCGGGCAGCTCCGC